CCGTTCATATTGTTTTGTTTATGTAATTTTAATTAATTTAATTAATGTTTGTATCCACTGAGGAAGATTGAACTATCAATCGAAACGTTTGGAATAAATAAAGTTAGTACGAAGAAAAAGTACTTATTTAAAATATAAAAAATCTGATCTAACTTCGTATTCATATTGACTTTTCAAAAATAATTATTATCGCACATAGACCGACCTTTCGATGGATATATTTAGGTCCGAATTTATCAAGAAATATGCTGTTCCTAGATCTTGTCAAGAGTACGCTCGTTCTGAATTTACTTTGTTATTGTTTTTCTCGATACGTTTGCGTCCAACATTGTTTTTGAAGATGGTTTATTAAATGCAGAATGTTGATGTGATAGTTCATCATGTTTTTTCAAAATATCATCAGCAGTCTGTATAGATCCTTGTACATCATCTTGTGTTGATTGTTCCGGTACAACTGCGATCTGTGATCTTGGCTGTTGTTGATCTTAAAAGAGGAAAAGGCTTTTGTTTTAAATATTTTAAGCATAAAAAGTAGTAAAACACACAAAAAAATCGAAACACCGGCAGAGATGTCCATGCCACAATTGTGTGTTTAAGTAGTTTCCATCGTTTACCAATGTCGCCTAGAATGAAACAAAAACAAAATTTTTAAATGTAAATAAGCTATTATCAGTATAACATAAACAAACCTCTTAATAGTTCAAGAGTTGTTGCTGAACCTTTGCGACGAATGTCTTCGGGAATGATCTTTGGTAAACTGATGAATAAAACAAAACACTATCAATAGACATATAGAATCCCATTTTCTCGGATAAAGATAATTAATTTCAAATCGAGTTACGACTAGATATGCTTACGAGATATGCAATAATTGGAAAATGCTTATTTTAAAACGTTTTTTCCAAAAATGTTTCAAAAGTTAAACTACCTTGATTCTATTTGAAAAGAAACTACAGGAAATCGGTTGAATTTGAGAAACATGATGTTTATGTTGTACTTTACAAGATATGTAGATTCTAGATCTAGAAAATGCCTTACTCTTTCAAAACAATTGTTTGTGATAGTGGTCCCCACGGAACGGATTGACCCATAAAACCAATATAACGTCCAGTTATTGTAAAAAGCCTAAAATTGAAATGATAAAATCAAAATTTATAGTCCAATTTGTCCTTTCTTACCGTACTGTACAATCGACACTACCGGTAATAATTATTTCTCGATCATCGGCAAAAAATATACTTGTTATCGGTTTTAAATGTGCTCGAAATGCACTTAATAATTGTGGATACATCATGATATCACTAAGATAGGACACACGATCTGTCGATGTATTAATTGGCCTGTAATATAAATATCATGAAAATGGGCAGTATTCAATTCGGAAGAGTACCGAATAAAATGCAACAGCTAATGGATATTTACGGTGAGCCAAGTTTTTCTTGTAGTACACGTTCTGCTCTATCACGCATTTCCTGAATACCTTTTAAAAAAAATACTCATTTATTGAACATATATGAGAAAACTAACCGTAACCTACCACACTAAAATATTAATTTGTACGCAAGAAAAAGACGTTGTAAAGATCTTTCCAATAAAGGCGAGTTATAACATTACTCATGCAAATAGAATAACTTATTTTATCTCGTCAAACATGAGAATAGCCATGTGCACCAACCCCGAAAAACAATTAGCAGCGTATTAACTACAGAGCTAATCGACACGTCAAGATAGATATTCGAACATGAAAATACTTACCAGGAATAGGAGACATCATTTGTGTGTGAAATTTTTGAAATATTTGACGTTTTGATTCCATTAAAAGATTTTGTTTCTCTTTTGTATCTGGATGTTTGATGGCATAATCACCAATATACCACAATGCAATATAACCGGCCGTATCAGCTAAGACAGTTTAGAAAAAAAATTAAATTTTTTAATTAACCCTTTCTTGACAGATGGCCATTTAAATGGCCGTTTGAAAACTGCTCTCTTAGTTATCTTTGCTTTAACCAATATTAATGATCGTACTTTAAATTAAAGCTAAGGAAATGTGGATTCTATTGCAACGAACTTAATATTTTAGCGCTCTTTATTAAACTGAAAAAGATTCATGAAAAAAGCAAGTTTTTTTAGATCCAAAATACTTGACTTATCGATTATCTGTTGCAATATTTATGTAATTCAAATAAATTTATTTACTTTTCATGGTATTGCATCATCAAACATTTTTGTAATTTGTATCTTAACTTTCAACGTTAACTTTTAATGTTTAAACGTCTTTACCCGTTCTGGATGGCCGGAATCGATCTAAACGCCCGCAGGTTTTTGGAACGCCATTCTGTAACCCGATCGTTCACTACTGGGCATAAAGGATCTTGAAAACTGGACTTATGTTTAAATATGACTCCTTTATGCCACAATCTTACAAGATCTCAGTTATAAGCTCCATGGTATACAGATGTATTCGAATTTATTCATCGTACCAGCTTATCCGCCAAGAATTGAAATACATCAGAGAGCTGGCTCACTCAAATGGTTATCCCAAACAATTTGTATGCAGTCGGATAAGAAAAACGATGAACCGATACATGGAGAAACCAAAGAAGATCGATGATGCTAAATCCAAGTTTAAAACAAACAAATTGGAAAAGCGTGATCAAATATTTGTCGATCTACCATTCATTGGACGACCAACAAAGTTCTTTGGTAAACAAATAGTTGAATTGAGTAAAACGGTGCGACAAAATGTCAATGTGCAGCCAATTCAACGGCCACCACTCCCTATTTCAACTAAGGCATCTAAGACAGATATGATCAACAAAGATTTCCAGTCGCACTTGGTATACGAAATCACATGTTCTCACTAGACAGACTCGTATATTAGAGAAACAATTCGTCGCCGACATGAACAGCACGGTGCACCTCAACTCTCAAATCTATCGTCTGTCTCACAATCGCCCTCATCTACAACAATAACAGCTCAACCAGATTTAAGAAGATCTGAAAGATTCAGAGATAAATCTCAACCAAATTACAAGCCTGAGCTAGATGAACTCAATGAAAATCCATTGTCTGATCCCAGATAGAAGAAATCAGCTCCTTACAATCATGAATTTACAACAGGATATAGTATCAGCTGGAAAGACTGGAACATACTCTCAAAAGACACGTCAAGATATCGACTGAAGATTCGAGAGTCCTTGCAGATCATGAGCAAACAATCAGGGTTGAACTGAACGGTAATATTAGCCCCCTTGATTATATTTCCAAAAGGATTGAAAATTACAAGACCAAAATTTAAGATGAAATTAAAGGCCAGTGGGTAATGGACCCGTCGATCGGGATTAGCTGTGAAATTAAATTAAATTTTAATTCCACAGTTTAACACCTTTTCCGTTGACACATCGAACATTGGTTGTTCGTTTGTATATGCATATGAAAGAAGCGAACTGTGTTATAATTTCTCTTTTTTCGAATGTAGTTTCACTTTTCTCTCTGTAAATTTCGTCTTGAAAATGACTTTTTATAAGTTGAAATGTCGACAATAATAAACTGTGTTTGAATTAAGACAAATCTTTTAAAATATCTAAAGCCTTCAAAACTGCTGTACTTAAGCTTATTGGGGAAGAAAATGCAAAAAGAATTTTTTCAATATTTCAAATGGCTTTTCGTTCAGAAACAAAGAATTAATATCGAAAATACTTTACATACTGGTGAATAATATATTGCATTTTTCATCTACACACATAGCCAATATATGTTCTAAGTGAAAACAGAAGATTTATATAGATTTACGGGTATGACATATCAATGTTTTATATATACCTTGAGATTTTCGAGCACCATTAAATACAGCAATTAACTGACCAATAACATGAACACTCCTTCAAAAAAGAAATTTATTCCATTCAGTACAATGATCCTTTTTTCTCAAACAGGAGTCTACAGATTTAAGAAGAAAAACATTCTCAGTAATTATCGCTTAACAACTTTAAAACTGTTCCTTACACTCGTTATTTAACAATCAGAAACAAGTATACAAAAAATAAAATTTGATCTTACCAAAACCATACCCAACCCATGGATCCAGCAGCCACTAAACTTGCACTATATGGACTTGTTTCTCGTGTATGTAAAAATATTAACTGGTCTAAATGATAATCACTTGAGATTGTTGATTTATTATGTTCAACATAGACATTCGTCTTTCTAGAAATTGTCTAACATCAGCTATACCTGCATAGAGATAATTCAAATAACTCACAGAAAATTCTCAAAAGCTTTTTCGTATGAATTTCTTAAACGTTCAAGTAACATAGTTCTTATACTAGACAACATATACATCAATTTTGTAGATAATTTACATTAAAGTGTTTTTCTCTCACCGTTCCGTATTTTCAATATTTCGTTTTTTCTTTTGTATTCGTCTTCGAGAGAAATAGTTTGGAAATGTAGCACGTATTGCGCCTTTTGTCTGCAATAAAGAGAAAATAATGTATCTATTATAACTATTTCAACGATAGAATTGTTCAATTTACCGTCTGTTTATATAACCATGATAATGAAACTAATTTTGGTTTGATATCTTGACTCGCATTAAATCTCATAAATGGCATACCAGTTTCAACTGTCCATAAAATTATATCACCATCATAACTAGCTAAATATAGGCGAAAAAATTATTATTTCATCAATAGGAAAGAAAAGTCAAACGATTTTTACCTGTAGCTAAAATATTCGACATTAAACACATTGATAATATGTCATCGTTGTGAAGTGAACGAAACTCATTAACTAAAACAATATGCGATTATCAGAAAATGAATTTAAGATCAAAAACTTTTCATATGATACCCGTAATATAGCAAGGATATTTTAAGAGACTGTCCAAAAATTTTATTCAACAGAATTGTCAAAAATATTTTAAGTTTTTTATTCGATTTTTATAGAATGAAGAATCTGATTGGTAGTGACAGAGAAAAAGTCTTGTTCTGATTTACAGAACAAAAAACGAGGTGAGAATTTTAAGAGGGGATTTGTGAGCGCACGGACAAACACCATAGTGTGACAAAATTAATTTTTTTGTGAAATCATTTTCGCCGTGAAGAGCATACAAAATCAGATATTGGCACAACTTTTTTTTTGTGAAACTCTCTCCAATACTTCGAAGAAGACGAAATTTCAGTTATATACTCAAAAATCGATATTATCATGTGTTTGATATCGACTGATATCAGGAGAATGTTTTTAGGCGGTCACAATCTCTTAAGAGGACAGCTGCAACCATTTTTTCTACGATCAGTTTTTACGTTACAAAGTTTTCCAGTATTTTTGCATCGAGTGGTTTTTTATCCTCCAATGATTTTTTAAAACTATAATGGACGATCCAGTTATGAAGAGTGTCACACGAACAATGCATCACTTAATCAACAGTGTCATAAGACGTATAATTGAACGCCGCCGATTTAAAAAATGTTTATATATGAAATACAGATGAATAAGTTTCATTTTTAGTTTCCCGAAATAAAACACAGTAGTAGCAAATCGTTTATAAGCAAAATTTTCGCTGATTTTTATTGACCTATCTTGATCAGTATAGGAAGTTTCACCTTTTGGTACCGAACGTACCATCCTGACACGGTTTTTCATGTTGAACTATAAGCTCTCAAAGAATAAAATTTGTACAAAAAGCCTTACGGTTGAGTTTCTATCGTAATCATCACGAAAACTGAGTCAAATACAGTAGTTTTTAAATTAAATACGAAATTTGTTTTTTCGGCCAAATTTTTAACCTGAGCGAGAAATTTTACATTCAAAACAGCGGAAGTCTTTAGTTTATATGACTTGCAACTACAATTAGATTCAATCTCGAATAAAATATTCTACTTAAATTCGGAAATTGAAGAATTCTAAGTCTATTGATTATTAGTGCCAAAAAAATGTTTTGATTGGAGGTGGTATGAAATAATTTTTTAAGGAACTCCTGTGTTGACTCTTCAGTAGCTACGCCATGATGTAAGAAAAGTTTTAAATTAAAAAAGTTATCTTGCTAATTCTTTCTATCATGGTTAAATGAATAAGTTTGATTGAGAAACTATTTTAAAGAGATAGAAAAGAATACATCGATATTCTAGTTTTTTTTCGAGAAATCGTATAGTTCATAGAATATAGATACCTTGTCTAATAATAGAAGAATTGCCTAAATGATAAATTTTCACTTTTCTTGACCAACCCGCCACGCATAATCTTTCATTTGAATGTAATATCGATGTTATTTCTCGTTCGTCATTTCCTTTCGCTGATACACGATATAAATTATGTCCATTATTAAAATTCCTATTATAGAAGAACACTTAATGACAGTTGAAGTATCTAAATTCCCAATTCTATACCATAGTGCTAATGATCCATCATGTGCTCCTGTTAGCAATCGTCGTTTGGCTTCATCCAAACACATTGCTGTTATTTCAGTAGATCTTTCATTATATTCACTTAGTTCTGACTGATGTGCATTTAATATGTGCATTACTTTTTCGCCTGTTTGCATATTCCAAATATTTATTGTTGAACCTTCATCACACGATATTCCAACATCGAACAATGGATTATAGAGAATATGTGTAACAGGATTGAGATGAGATGTCTTTTCTGTATGCATATACGATTCATTTATATGAGCGAATGATATTAGCTTTTTATTACCAATTATCAAACGCTAAATATTCATATATTATACATTGAATTTTTAATGACACAATTTATGTAAATAAGAAATGATTTTATGATAATCAAATATACTCACTTGATGTAAAGGATTCAAATAACAAACTGTTAAGTCTTGTTCACCTAACTCTAATACAGTATGAGAAATTCGTTGAATCATTTTAAGTGTAAAAACATCCCAGATAATTATGTCTAAATAGGAACAGAAAAATTAGAATATAACTAAAATTGCCCGATTAAAGGATTCAATTTCAACAAAAGATTGCTTCATTTTGAACATCTATTCTAGTAAAACGGAATATCGACAGCTGGAATTTCGGCATTGTCGTTTTTGCTCAATATTTTCGGCAAATTGTCGAAAGTCAAATCTGATTTTCGACATTGTCGAATTTCAGGTTGTTTTTCGACTATTGTCTTAAATCCTTGTAATTTCGGCAATTGTCGAAAATCCATCGGCATTTCGAGCAATTACTAAATGTTAGTAAAAGTAGTTCAAGTGGAACAATATCAAAAAAATTGGTCAGAATGCTCACACTTATCTAACGCAATAGATTAAAACAGAATCAGTGAATTGCAGTCTTCTTCTAATAATTTACAAATGAAAATACAATGACAAAATAAGACTTTTCTTTTTTCTTTTTCAAACACAGATCCCGCAGAACAACCAAAAAAAAAATAGAGTTTCTATATCTCACAACAACTGAACTGTAACAAATAAGAAATCGCACAAATTACAAAAATACCCAGATTATAGATTATAAAAACATAGTGTATTATTTTATTATTATGCCCGGTGTATGCTATTAAAAATTTTACTTTAAGTGCAACTGAAAATTACTGTCAAAATTCCGTTGGATTATCGGCAATGGTCGAAGTTCATTGTAAATACGATAATGCGAAGAAAATCATATCGATTTTCGACAGTTGTCGAAATTGTTGGCAACTTTGCCCTCTATACTCGGCAATACTGCCAAAATCCGTCAGAATTTGGCCTGTCGAAATTCCGATGGCAAAATTCCAGCTGGCGAAATTCTAGGATATCTCTATTCTCACTGAAAACCAAAATATATTGCAAATTCATAGACTACGGACACTAAAAGTCTTGCAGTTTAAAGTTTATCTGAATGTCTAAGAGAATGATCACAAATAATCTTAATACCGACTCCATAATATTTGATAATTTCTACTGATAATATACTCACTTTTTCCTTTATCGATACTAATTACATGATCTTCTTTATTATCAACAGCCAGATGTGTGACGGATGCATTATGACCACGAAGAATCGCGCCTGATTTCTCGGTAACAAATGGATCCCAAAAGCGTACAACTCCATCACTTCCGCCCGTCACAACTGCACGATGTCTCTACAGTTTAGCGAAATAAAATACAAAGATATTACTAGAGGAACAATTTACTTAAAAATTGAACATAAAAAAATTCAAGATATCGATATAGTCACATGGTTCTGATTTATAGCAAGTGTTACCAGTATTCTGTGTATAATTTCACTTTTTTGATAGTGAACAGAAATTTATCCTACGTTCCTTTTGTACAAAGCATACCTGACAATAATCAAAGCAATAAAATCCTTTTCTCGCTTCAGCATAGCGAACTGTTTTCTTTTCTAAGTCTCCTAAATCGAAAGAAAAAGAGCATGAAAATTAAATAATCGATGATCAACACGACGATCGATTACTGACCTAAGTACAACGATCGTTTTGTTGTCAAACTGCATGAAGCAAATAAATTAAGTTGAGGTATCCTGAATTGTTTTTTTTGAAAAAAACCTCATATAATTTTTTTTTGCGAATAAACTGTGAATTATTTACCATTTTACTTGGGCCACCCAGTCGTCGTGTAAATTACAAAACAATAGAACGGAAACTGTACTATATTCGTTAGCCGATATTCTTGGAAAGTTAAATATTCTTGTTATTCCTGTTTTACCACCTCTTGTATGATCGGATATATGAAACATTGGTCTCGTTTTATCTTTAGGATAAATAACAAATAAGTTTCCCAAACTATCTCCACAAAATAAAGCAGACTGCTGAGCGTCTTTTATATTCATTCTAAACTAAATTCACTACATACAATTTTTGAGTTGAAAACACAATATTCTCTCGAAAATTACCTATAATCGATTGCTGTTAATGACGCTGAAAAACTATTCACCATTATTGAACCAGTGTATGTATGTGAATTCATATCATACAAAATAAGATCACGTTCCGTTGTTGCCACAGCAAAATAATTCATATTTGGCATTATACACATACACGTTATCCATAATGGAAGAGCTCTAAAATGAAAGGGTGTTTGTAAAATACGTTAACAGTCACCAATACTTCAGAATGATACAAATTAACAGCCACTCGACTTTCAATGTGAGATTACGCTTATATTTACTTAATTATAAAGTTAGAGAGGTGCTGATGTCTTTCTGCTGGTGGCTGTGTTTCAACTGTTAGCAGCCGTTAATAAGTGCCTATTTGAATATTATTCGATATTAGTGTAATCAGCTCGATGAACTCTACCCATTGACTGTGCTAAGTTTTAATTTGGGACAGTTAGTGATCGTTAGTGACTGTATTTTATAAATACTCAAAAAGTCGGGTGACACAACGAAATTAGCAGATTGAAAACAAATAGTGACTTTTAGAAGAGCTCAAAGTGAAGTTTTACATATATTCTTGATAAGTACAACATGACAAAAATTCGATATGTTCGTCTATTTTAGATAAATTTCAAAGCGCTTATTTATGAACAAAGCGCACCTTTTCCTTTGTTCAGTTGGTTGAATTTTCGATTCACGAATGAGTTTTAATGATGCTGACCAATGTGATACAATTCCACTTCGTGTTACTGAAATGTAACGGCCATAATTATAATCAATTTCATCGAGAGGTTTCCCACTACGTAATAAACCAGGAAAAAATTGAAACTTAAAAATTAGACAATATTTTCATAGTCATTTACGAATAACTCAACACCTAAAGCTTTACCCCAATATATAAATCGAGTGCAAGACTTCTAGCTGTAAATTCTTGTGATGTATGTGGATAAGGAATCGGTTTCATCATATCGTACATTATCTCTCTTTCTTGATGCTCAAACAGAATGTATGTCAAATATTCGCTTAAATCAACGGTTCCATCACAATTTGTATCTAAAGAGTTGATTTTTTTACATCTTTTCATCAATGCAACCAGTACTAAATGTATACCTATCTAAAGAGAAAAGATTGCTGAGTAGAATTATATCAACTCATTAAGTATCAATGACAGGACTAAAAACAAAATGAATAAATGGTATCATCTCGTTTCGTCCCGTATTTTTTGATTAGCTCTCGTTTCGTCCCATAGTTGTTTTGTTCCCGTTTATTTTCTATCATTCTACTCATTTTATAACTATCCATTTTTTTCTATCAACTATGTACTAAGTAATATTAATATAATTAATTAACACAACGTAAGAAATCGATACATGGCATATTGATACGTATCAACGTATCAATATGGACTAGTTTGTTTTTCTAAACCTGGATCAATAACAATTTAATTTTAACGAAGTCATGCTGTATACTCCATGATAGAGTTTAACTGCTCAACGGAAAAGCTTTTGTAAAGAAACAATGGCAAGGGTCTTACGGATTGACCGTTACATTGTTTCATGGGCTACAGATTGAACTATCATTTAATACAACAACATTTATGTAATGATAATAAGTATAATATTGTTGTTGAATCAAAACGTGCTGTATCGGATTTTGAACAAGCAACATTTACTATAGTGAGTAACATATTTCCAAGTTGTAAAATTTCTAGCTGTTTCTTCGAAAGATATGAATCTGGTACTTTGTCTGGAACTGAACTTGCAATTAAATGTGCCAAATGTGCTAATACTGTAAAATTATGTGTTTCATTGTAACTCGTAAATAAAATAATAAATGTAACATATAAAGCCATGTATCAATTTCTTATGTTCTTAATTAATTATATTAATATTAATTAGTACACAGTTGATAGAAAAAAAATGGATAGTTATAAAATAAGTAGAATAATAAAAAATGGATAAAATCAGAAAAGATCTCGGGAAATTAGCAGAATGGATCTCGGAAGGAAAAAAAAGACAGAAACAATGAAAATGTCAGTTAAGCATTTATGCAGAAAAGATCTCGGAATAATGAATAATCTAGAAGGAAAACATGTGCATAAAGTACAGTATTATGAAGTTATAACATTTTCAACTTTATTCTAACTGTAAATTTAGAAGTGTTACGTCGTACGTGGAATGAAGTTCTCGTATGTGACAATGAAAGAGATTTATCAGCTTTCATTAAAGATCAACATGTTTGTATTTATCGAAAGGAAACATTTAATACCGGCACATCGATTACATATAAATGTTTGGAATACAAAAAGTATCCATTGTGTCAGTTTCACTTGAAAGCAAAAGAAAGTTCAGATGGGTATCAAGTTTATTCGTCGGAAGTACATAATCGTCATAGATGCGCTCAGATAAGTTATCTATAATATATGCGGGTGTGAGAGCTTTTGCTATTAATTAATTAATTAATTATTCCAAGATCTTTTCTGCAGCATAAAAAATTAAATTAAATTTTTTCGAGATCTTTTATGCAGAAATGCTTAACTGACATTTTTCCGAGATCGTTTCTGTCTTTTTTTCCTTCCGAGATCCATTCTGCTAATTTTTCGAGATCTTTAATTTTCATGTCCATTGAAAACAAACGGGACGAAAAGAGTATGGAACGAAATGAGACGGGACGAAACGAGAGCTAATTAAAAAATACGGAACGGAAAGAGAGTAATCCGAATAAATATGTTCTTTTTCAATAATCCTCTACATTCAACATTATTAGATTTCATGAAGCACTGCATTAAACTATAGAAAAGCGAGATTCATAAAAATTTCAGTTTGTCTGAAGTACATATCATAGATTGTCCAGTATGTTTTTTGCTTATTTATAATGGAAAAAATCAAGATAAATAGCCTACTTTCATAAAAATAATCTGTGCTTCTCGGTCAGTAAGATCTGCATATGTTCGTCTCATAAATGATGTAAACTCCTGCACATCTAAAAATCCACCACCATCTAATAAAAAGTAAAACAATAAAAACTAGCGCCTTAGCATGAAAAACTTTTTTCTCGATAACAATAAAGTCTCTGACCTATATCCGCTTCGGCAAATGATTTTCGTACTTTTTCGACGAATTCAAATGTAACCATATCTTCAACGGTCTGCTCCAAATTTGTTGCATCTTGACTCTGAATCAGTTTTCTGCTTTTTCTTGACGATGAACGCTACAGAGAACGGTTAAATTTTTATATATAAAGATCCAGTAGAATTCCAAGAACCATAAATACCATAATATTTTCATGACGAATATATTTTAAATATTGTTCAACCGCTTGAACAAGTATCTGAAAGTTATTTAAGTGAATTCTTATATCAACGTTATTTAGTACTAATTTGATCGTTTCCTTACACGATTTGGAACTCGAACACCGACTTGTGCGCCACGAAGTGTCTGAAGCGCTTTGGACGGTTTGCAAGCGGTTTCTTGCTTAAACTATAAGTAAAAAGAAATAAGAACTGTGGTTAGTCCATTAAGAACTTCATTTATCTTTTATTAAAAAAAAACAACTCATCGAGCAGACAAAACGAAACGTGATAGATCTGATATGCTAATGCAAGGTTCCTACAGAGTAGGTTGGGATAGTTCCGGACAGCCTTTCTAATTTTCACAGTATTTTGAGCATACCTGAAGCATTTTTACTCGGGAAAAAACGACATTTCGCAGGTGGATAGACCGAACATTTCTCTATCTACAAATGTAAAAATCTTGTTGTAAAAATCTAGC